ATGATATAAGAGGGTGTTTGGAGAGGGATGCCATGACGATAGGGATGCAATAAGAACGATGCTGGGAGGGGATGCTGTGAGAATGCAGATGCTGGGTTCAGGGCAGCTGGGAAAGCGATGCCACGAGGGATGCGGGCGCTGTGCCACAAAAGCTTGGCATGGCTTCGTCGTCGTCATCGTCATCGTCGTCGTCGGTGCTGCTGCTGCTGCTGCTGCAGCTGCTGCTGATGATGATGATGATAATGCTTTGTGACTCTTTGCTGCAGGCGGGAAGGGGGCTTCACCAATGCGGACATCAGAGCAGGGTGCTCTGTCCGTGTCAGTGCGGCGCAGGCGGTTTGAGTCCTCTGCTTCCTCGGCCAGTAGCTCCCCCGGTAGCTGCATCAAAGGTACACACACCTAGTTTATCTCTTACTTCCTCGCTCCCTCGCTCTCTTGCTCCTTCAGCCGGTAGCTTCCCCTGGTAGCTGTATCAAAGATACACACACCTAGTTTACTTCTAACTCCCTTACTTTCTCACTTCCTTGCACTCTTGCTCCTTTAGCCGGTAGCTTCCTTGGTAGCTACAGTAAAGATACACACACCTAGTTTACCTCTCACTTCCTTACTTCCTCACTCTCTTACTCCTTCAGCCGGTAGCTTCCCCTGGTAGCTGTATCAAAGATACACACACCTAGTTTACCTCTAACTCCCTTACTTCCTCGCTCTCTTACTCCTTCAGCCAGTAGCCTACCCGGTAGCTGTATCAAAGATACACACACATAGTTTACCTCTTACTTCCTTACTCCCTCGCTCTCTTACTCTTTCAGCCAGTAGCTTACCCTGTAGCTGTATCAAAGATACACACACCTAGTTTATCTCTTACTTTCTCACTTCCTCGCTCTCTTGCTCCTTCAGTCAGTAGCCTACCTGGTAGCTACATCAAAGATACACACACCTAGTTTACCTCTTACTTCCTTACTTCCTTGCTCTCTTACTCCTTCAGCCGGTAGCTTCCCCTGGTAGCTGTATCAAAGGTACACACACCTAGTTTATCTCTCACTTTCTCACTTCCTCACTCTCTTACTCCTTCAGCCAGTAGCCTACTCGGTAGCTGTATCAAAGGTACACACACTTAGTTTACCTCTCACTCCCTCACTTCCTCACTCTCTTACTCTTTCAGCCGGTAGCTTCCCCTGGTAGATACAGCAAAGGTACACACACCTAGTTTACCTCTAACTCCCTTACTTTCTCACTTCCTCGCTCTCTTGCTCCTTCAGCCAGTAGCCTACCTGGTAGCTGTATCAAAGGTACACACACCTAGTTTACCTCTCACTTCCTCACTTCCTTTCTTCCTTTCTTCCTTTCTTCTTCAGCCGGTAGCTTACCCGGTAGCTGCATCAAATATACACACACCTAGTTTACCTCTCACTCCCTTACTTTCTCACTTCCTCGCTCTCTTACTCCTTCAGCCAGTAGCTTACCAAGCAGCTACAGTACGTATAGATAATATGTACGTGTATATATGAAGGTACAGATACGTAATGTCTAATTCTCTCTCCCTCACTTCCTCTCTGTCGCTCCCCCTGCCTACCACCCTCCCTTTATGACGATGATGATAACAGTGATAATTATGGTGGTGGTGGCGGTGATGATGATGATGATGATGATGATGATGATGATGATGATGATGATGGTGATGGTGGTGGTGATGATGATGATAATGATGATAATGAAGATGATGATGATAATGGTGGTGGTGGTGATGATGATGATGATGATGATGATGATGGTGGTGGTGGTGGTGGTGATGATGATGATGGGTTCAAATTGTACATGACTTGTGGTAACAATTACCCGCGAGCATAGACAATAAAATTCTATCTAAGTGGAGATTTTGGAATGCAAGACAACGCATTAACTGATCCATTCGTATAGCTGCCCTGTATAGCATTGAACACATATGGATGTTACAACCGCCACCTGGTAGGGACTGGGGGAAACTCAAGTAGCGTTGTGTTTCTGTTGACATATATACCGTCGTTGCTCATTCCAGTACACATTAGCAATGATCTGTTTTTAAACTATAGCCGCTGTATAGACTGTAGACGTGTCGTTTGACATGCGTCTAAACAGAGGAATTGCTCCGACCTGTGATTGGAGGATAAAAATAGACCCCGCCCACTCCCGCCGCATACGCTATGCTATGACTGGTAGGAACGTGTACTAACTATCATATGGAGCAAACGATTTTAGTTACATTTCTAGAAATTCTAGCTATTATAGACACATGTCTTAGCCTTAATTTCTGTGAATTTTTAGTCTATTGAAGCGCGATTAGTTTAATTAATTAGCAAATATGCACGCGCGGCTATGACCGGTGAAACGAAACGTCACGAATTCTATTTTTATCCTCCAAAAATGGAAAAGTGGGCGGGGTCTATTTTTATCCTCCAATCACAGGTCAGAGCAATTCCTCTGTTTAGACGCATAAGTCGTTTGCGTAGAAAATCACTCACAGTCACGTGTCTGACGTAGATTGTGTTGATATAACCCTCTGTCTCCTTCTGTCTCTTTCTCCCTCTCGTTCCCCCCCTCTCTTTTCCGATCTCTTTCTCTCCTTCTTCTCTCCTTCGATCTCGCTCCCTCCTAATCTCTCTTTTGTCGCTGATGTTCCTCAAGATTTCTTTCTGTTTTATTCGCTTACGGTGTACCTGCACAACTGCGCTTTCATACAAGGTAAATATGCACGCATGTATTAGATATAACTGCATGCTTAACAATTATTGTATTCTTGTAAAAAATAGAGTACCTGCAGAAAGGGAATACCGTTATATCTATCAGGTATGTTGATGTTATGTTATTACTGGGCTTAAATTAGACCCTGCAACCGTGTGCTTACATTAATCTTATTTAACATATTATGTTAAGATATGTTAGGATAGAACAGAGTGCATTTCTGCACACTAGATCACGTAAATGTATATGACCAATATCAGCACAGGATACACATTATGTTAATGCATATGAGCATTAAAAGCTCACGGTGTGGTGCAAGGTGACCAATAGCAGCTTACAATCGCCGCATGTGATTACCTGTGACCAATCACAACTCGTGAAATTATGTGATTACCCACAAACGGTCATAGCTCGCGATCTCTGCACGTGACTTACTACAAACAATCACATGACTTACTACAAACAATCACGTGACTTACTACAAACAATCACAGCTGGTGAACCCTGCACGTAATTTACTACAAACAATCACAGCTGGTGAACTCTGCACGTGAGTTACTACAAACAATCACAGCTGGTAAACCCTGCACTTGATTTACTTCAAACAATCACAGCTGGTGAACCCTGCACGTGACTTACTGCAAACAATCACAGCTGGTGAACCCTGCACGTGACTTACTACAAACAATCACAGCTGGTGAACCTTGCACGTGACTGAATTTGCTCCACCCAGGTTAGCGAGTTTCATAGGTTCAGTTTCATTCGTGGATCATAAAGCTTTGACAACTATGTTGGTTTGGTTTCTATGACAGGCTTCGTCGAGCAAAAGCTACTGCCTTATGAGCTTGAGGATTTTCTCTCTAATGGGATGATTGGGATAGCATTTACCCCAGTGCATGACAGTCAAACAGTTGCATGTGATTAAATAACAGCAGCTCGTGATTGTTGCATGCGATTAGCTAATCACAGCACGTGAACAGATATATATAAGCAATCACAGCTTGACATGCTATTTGATCACGCATGTTGTAAATCAATTACAGATCATTGTCTTGGCATGGAAATAAGTAACCAATGCCTCATGACAGTGGTATGTCATGCCATGCCATGTCATGGCATGTATGGTACGTATGGCACGTATGTACGTATGGTACCGTACGTATGTATGGTACATCATGGCACGTATGGTATGTCATGCCTCATGACAGTGGTATGTGAATGGATGTGAATGGATGCAACCAATAACAGATCGTGATGTTTGCATGTGAATAGGTATAACCAATCATGACACGGCAACAAGCTTCTTATTGGACATGCAGCATGTGCATGAGTAAATCGGTAATCGCCAATGTGCATGTGATTGCCTGATCACGTTTGCTTGCTAGTCGTGTTGCTGCTTTGGAATTACCTAACACCTTTCCTATTATCAAGTTATACAGATAAGTCTTCAGTAGTATACATTAGTATTAGTAGCATACATATAGCATATACATAGCATACATATACATAGTATTAATTAGTTTTGACATAATTAACTATAATTTAACTTAAATTAATTAATTTAATAAATTAATAAATTAACTATAGTTATAGGCGTGTCAAACCAGGTACATGTATGACGTCATGCGCTGACACTGTAACATGTCTATTCCGCTGAGACACACCAGACCACCAGGTGGCACCCCGAAACTGCCTAGCGGACAGATTATGAACAATTATTTGACATATACTTCAGTTTCACGACAGTTCACTATCTTGCATTTTAATCAGCAAGGGGAAAATTAATATCTGCCCCGTACATATGCCACATGTTACATGTTATTTTAATAAAGCACGTTAATTAAATCATATATATATATATATATATATATATATATATATATATATATATATATAG